TGAGGTCTAATTGGCCAGATAACTTTTAGCCACTAGAACTAATGGGAGGTGTGTTATTTATTAAATATTTTCTTATTGTTAATCCTCACCCGAGGATATTTTCCCATTGATTTTTAGAGAGAGTGGACCAGAGAGAGATACACAGAGAGAAACATCAATGTGAGAGAGACACATCGATTGGTTGCCTCCTGCACATGCCCCGAGTAGGGCCAGGGGTCAAGTCTGCAGCCCAGGTATATGCCCTTGACCGGAATTGAACCCAGGACCTTTCAGTCCACAGGCTGATGCTCTATCCACTGAGCCAAACCAGCTAGAGCTGTTGGCAGGCTTTTACTAAGACCAACACTGTGGCACAAATGACGCTGAGTACAAGTTAGCTGTAGGCTAGAGTCCATTCTCTTAGCATCATGAGAATGTTTCCATTGTCTTAATAGCATCCTTTCCCCCATCACATCTCATAACTATGTCACCTTCATCATAAGAACTAGCAAAATGTAATATTGCCTAATTTAATATGCATTTATTAATCTCCTGCCATGTCTCAGCAGCACGCTGGTTACTAAGGATACAGAGATGAACAAGAAGCATCTGTGGAGCACGCTTTACTGGCCAGGCAGTGTGCCAGGCACTGAGAATAGTTGGTTCCTACTCTCATAACATTTATATGGTATTTCACATTCTAATGGGATGGAAAGAAATGAGTTGTGACAAGTGCAATAGAATTGAACATAGAGAAGGGAGCAACTAATTCTGATACACGGAGACAGAGGAAGCTCCTGAGAGAGAACAAAATTTGCATTTGACCTTGAAACCTGGATGGGACGCCTAACAAGGATCCCTTGTATAAAATGCACATTTGTGCAACACACACACACACACACACACACACACACACACACACACACACACACCCCTACCTCTACTCTATTTTTATCTCCAATGAAAACTAGAAAGTTAATTAGGAAATAAAAGACAGTTACATTTAAAGTAACTTACAACAGCATAGTGTTGATTCTATCAAATAGTTATTCTTTCAAAGAATATTTCTTATCATTAACCAGTTAATATATCAATCACAGACCTCTTAAAAATAAAAATGAAACAACAAAACATTGGATAAAGAAAGGAAAAGAAGAAACAGAGGAATAGAAATATAAATGGTTTTTCACAACTTTGGACTTTTCATAGTAGTCTTTATGTTTACGTTAGAAAATAGTGCCCCCTTGTGACCAAAAATCAGCAAATTGGGCATAAAGAGCCCAATTGAAGCAAACCTTAAGCAAGTCTCCAGGAAGGAGGAAGCAGGAAAATGGGAAAAGACTGCCCCTTCAGGAAGATGTTATTATTACATTTTTAAATGAGAAATTGCTGTTCATAGAGACTTAAAACACTTCTTTGTTCATGCTGTTGTGGTTAATTCTGATTATATTTTATTTATTTGAGAGAGAGAGAGAGAGAGAGAGAGAGAGTGAGTAAGGAGGGGGGAGAGACATCGATTTGTTGTTCCACTTATTAATGCATTCATTGGTTGATTCTTAAATGTGCCCACAAGGAAACAAACCCACAACCTTGGCATATTGGGACGACACTAACCAACTGAGCTACCCAGCCAGGGCTTAATTCTGATTATTGATTCTAATTCAAAAGCAGGTTTCTATTTGATCCATCCTGTAGGGAAATAATTTTTTAAAACCCTTCTATTATGTTTTTCTACATCTTCTCTATGTTCACTTTTTTTCTTTAAAACATGTACCAGGTAAGAAATCGTAATATACATTTTAACCTGTTTTTCTAAAATTATCAACTTCAATTAGATTCTGTTACACTGTGACAGAGGTAACATGTTTGGAAAGTAAGCGGGGATTTGGAAAGACAAATAAAATAAAAAATTAGGTAGTCAAAGACAATTTCTAAAAATTAAATATTTTAATATCAGCTGCCTTTAATATTACTCCCAAATTTTCATGGACTATGTAAAATAATGGCACAGTCATGAGTTATTATTTTAGATAACCACAACTAATAGGTGTCCCCAAGTGCCAAAGACTGACATTGTTTGAAGGTGTAAAAGGACAACCCTACCCGGAAAATTTACTATCTAGAAAAATGCTGAAGCAAATCACTGATCAGCCAATTTGTATTCATCCCTAGGAAACAGCAGACTATAAAAGCAAAACAAAAACATAGCTTTGCCTTAAGGCGGGGGAGGGTGGGTGGGTGAGAGGTAATCAACCAAGGACCTTGTATGCATATATGCATGGTACATGTTCACAAACAATGGGGCGGTGAGGGCCTGGGATGGAGGGTGGGGGTTGGGGGGTGGGGGCGGGCTGGAGGGGGTCAATGAGAGAAAAAAGGGGGACATATGTAATACTTTCAACAATAAAGAATTATTAAAAACAAAACAACAGCAACAACAAAAACACACACAGCTTTGCATACACAAAGGTATATGAGCTTAACCTAAGATTACAATGAATTGATACTAAGATGGAACTAATGCATTCATCCAATTCTCCTGAATAACAATAATAATAGCTCTTATAATACTTATTGGCTGTAATATTTATGCAGGTTTTACTCTTAGCCAGGCACTCTACATATATTATCTCATATGCTACTACTGTTATAATTCACATTTCACAGATGAGGAAACTGAGGCTGAAAGAGTTTAAGTAATGTGCCCAAGACCAAGTCATAGGTCAGATTTCAAACTCAGAACTGGTTACTACCCCTTAACCACTGTTGGTTGGAAGCCAGGACTGATACTCCCAGGCTCGCTCACACTCCTACCCTCTGCATTTTAAGTTATATCTAGTTTGGTCCTGGACATTCAGTTCAACCGGAAACAGCTGGCTGGAGGGCAGTCTTCCACAGGATGCAATCCCCAAGGTTCTCCGCAACAACACTATTATTAAGAGAACCCACGGGAATCGTTTCAAGAATCAAAAGTCAAAGGGGAGAAAAGCGTGGTATTTTGACCAAAGAGACAGACCAAGGATTTGGTTTGCGATGCTTCTTTAGATTCTTCTAGAGGTGAGGAGTTAGACTTTCTGATTCTGTGAAGTGTAATATCAGATGATACTTACATGTTCTAGAATCTGGAATCCAGTTTTGTCCTGGTTTGGCTCTCCAGAGCTCTCTGGCTTTAGGTCTGGTGTGGGATGGAATAGAGCGGCCTAGGGTGGCCCGATCCTGGGAACTCATGTTCCTCTCAGTTCATCCATAGGCCACATCATAGTCTTTTTCCCCCTGTCTCCACATTCCGCTGTCAAAGCGCTTCTGGAGTGGATCTGTGCACAGAACAGGCACCAAACTAGTATTTGTTGAATCAGTGGAGGAAGTAACACAAAGGAGCCTTAACTTACAAAGTGGGGCAAGCTAGATAAAGAAAGAAGGAGGACATTTCAAGTAGAGAGAACAACATGTATGAAACCTGGGTAATGTGCCCTGGCCAGGTGGTCAGTTGGTTCAAGTGTCGTCCCATACACCAAAAGGTTCTGGATTTGATTCCAGGGCAGGGCACATATCTGGGTTGTGAGTCGATCCCAGTCAGGGCAAGTTATGGGAGGCAACCTATCAATGTTTTTCCCACATTGATGTTTCTCTCTCGCTCTTGCTCTCGCTCTCTCCCTTCCTCTCTCTAAAAACTCAACAAAAACATATCCTCAGGTGAGGATTAATTTTTAAAAAACTGGGCAATGGGAACTGTTTAGGAACTGCAATGGCTGGAGTAAAGGCCGTGAGGTATAATGGGAAGGTTGAGCAGCTTAGTCACAGCTACGAACCAGGACTCTGGAGCCTGCTAGTTTTGGTTTGAATCCTGGCTCTCACCAGCTGTGTCTTTGGGCAAGTTATATAACCTCTCTGTACCTATCTCATGGTATGTTAGAAAGATTAAATGAGCTATAGCATAAGAAGTGTTTGGAACAGTGCACTAAAAAATTGTGAATTCCTATGATTCTCATGTGGCGAGTAGTGGGTGGTAGGGTAGGCAGGGGACAGGTCCTGGAGTTTCCTATGTAAAAAGGGAGAACATTTATGCCAAAAGCCAAGGAGAATTTTTGAAGGTTTGTAGGAAGTGGGGAGTCAGGGTGTGATTTGAATTTTGGAAAGGTAATTCTGAGATGGGTAGAAGGAGATTAAACTGAAGACAGGAAGACCAGTGAGGCGGCCATTGCAGTGCTCCAGATGAAGAGGATAAAGACTTAAACCAAGTTAATTCCAGGTGCAGTGGAGAGGGGAGGGAGCTGCTCAGTGAGAGGTAGCAGGTCTAACCACAGGAGTCGGCCCTGACCACATGAGAGGGAGGCTGAATCTCAGTGTCAGGTGGGGCTTCGGGGTGGTGAGGGTAGCAATCACTGAGAGTGGGAACAGTAGGAATGAGCTGGGTTTGCAGGAAGAGGAAGAGTTTCATCTTGTTCATGGTGTCTTAATCTTGGACATGTTGAGTTTGCAGAGAACAGCCAAGCACCAATGCCTAGTAGGTGATGGATGAACAGGTTTGGTAATTCAGAGAGATATCAGGCCTCTGATAAGAACTCTAAACATTATTAAGTGAAGCTGTTTACACTTCTGGGCTGAAGAACAATAATTGGGGTGGTGGTGGTTATTTAAGATGCTATCTATGCCTTGATTATAGATATTAATATGAAAAAGATGAGCAAACCCCATCTGGAAAATGGGTGACGTTAGAAGATTCTTTTGGCAAGTCAGGAACGTTATCATTTATTGTCAGACAGTAGTGACTAAAACAAAGGCACTACCAAAATTAAAGACTCACCAATCATTGATTTATTCTTATTTTGAGGATTTTGTTAGCTGACCTTTGCCCGGCCTTTGGCTGGAACATATAATATATATTGACATTATTTAAACATGTGGCTATGGGTGCAAATATTCACATATGTGTGTGTATAGGTGATGTGTTTGTAATTTTACAATTTTAGGTATTCAGCAACTTTACCATGCCTCTGCAATTTTTCACATTTCCCCCACAGGTATTTCTGATGAATACATAACACCGATGTTTAGTTTTTACAAAAGTGTGGCAGAATTGAAAATGACTCAAGAAGAGTATGCTCTGCTTACAGCAATTGTTATTCTCTCTCCAGGTAATTTTGACGTTAGATTTTCATTTTTATGCTATTTGTTCATTTTTCCAGTATAATCATAATAATGTTTATTAAAGAAAATCTGAGAAACACAGAAACAGAAAAAAATAAAAAGACCTATAATCCCACTGCTTCAAACTGAATCATGTTAACATTTGAGTGTATTTCTTCTCAGCCTTTCTTCTAAACTTCACTTTCATTCAGTAAATGCATTTTTAATACCTACTATATGCTAAACATGGTTCTAAACATTGGGGAATAAAGAGGTAAAGAAACAGGCGGGCCACAGCTGCATGGAGCTTACTACATTCTAGTAGGGTAAGAAAAACAGCAAATAAAAATAATTTGTAGTGATTATTGAGGTGGCAAGTGCTACAAAAATATAAAGATGAGACTATAAGGAGAGAAAGTGGCAGTAGAATGTTATTTTAATTAGTGGTCAAGTAAGGCTTTTTTCAGGGGTTATTAAACAGGAGCCTAAATGAAATTATGTACATACTTTTTAACATAATAGAAAGCATACTGTCTTTTAAATTTTATTTTATTCATTTATTTTTAGCCCATGTCACACCTATCTTAGTTTTTTAAAAAATATATGTTTTAATTGATTTTTAGAGAGAGAGGGAGAGAGAGAGATAGAAACATTGATAAGAGAGAAACATCATTGATCAGCTGCTTTCTGCAAGCCCCCCCCCCCCCCCCCCCCCCCCCGGGGATGGAGCCTGCAACCTGAGCATGTGCCCTGATGGGGAATTGAACCAGTGATTTCTTGGTTCATGGATTGGCATTCAGCCACTGAGCCATACCAGCTGGGCTATTTTATTTTTTTAATCCTCACATGAGTGTATGTTTTACAGATTTTTAGAGATAGGGGAAGTGGGGGAAAGAGAGAAAGAGAGAGAGAGAGGGAGAAAAGAGAGAGAGAGACATTGATGTATGAGAGAAACATTGATCAGTTGCCTCCCACACAGGCCCCCACTGGGGATTGAACCTGCAACTTAGGTATGTGCCCTGACCAGGTATTGAACCCACAACCTTTAGGTGCATGGGATGACACTCCAACCAACTGAGCCACACCATAATGTCTTGTTTTAAAGTACTTTTCTTCAAACATCTTTCCCTATGTCATTAAAAAAAATTACACTGTAAAGGTTTATTGTAATGCATGCATCATATTCCATTGAATCGATGACCAATAATTTACTTAATTTTTGCCATATGTTTGGACATTCAGAATACTTCCAATTTTTTGTTGTTCTAAACAATGTTGAAATGAATGCCTCTGTATATGTATTTTTCTATTTTTTGCTTATTTATTTGGGAGTAAGTAATGCCACATTCATAATTTGTGGCCTGAAACCATTTTATATATGATATTAATTAAGCCAGAAGCTAGTTGTTACTTTGTTGTACCATAACAAATTATAATTACAAAGAAGAAAAACATTTCTTCTTTTATTGATTTATATTTTTTATTGATTTCAGAGAGAAAGGGAGAGGGAGAGAGATAGAAATATCAATGATGAGAGAGAATCATTGATCAGCTGCCTCCTGCATACTCCATACTGGGGAATGAGCCCACAACACAGGCATGCTCCCTGACAAGGAATTGAACCGTGACCTTCTGGTTCATAGGTTGATGTACAGCCACTAAGCTACATTGGCTGGGCAAGAAGAAAAACATTTTGGCACTATCTACTGAAGTGTTACATGTATAAACCCTACATCCCAAGTTCCAGTCCTTGGGTTATACCCACCAGAAATGATACTTATGCTCACCATACATGCTACTTTGGGGGCATTAATTGAAAGGGGAATTTAGGGAGGCCTGTAAATATTCTATATCTTGATATAGTTGTGATTATATGAGTACATGTAAGTGAGTGTGTGAAAATTCATCAAGTTGAACACTTCATTTGTACATTTCAACTGTACAACATGTGTGAGTTACACTTCAAAAAGGTTAGCCTTGCCTGGCCAGCATGGCTCAGAGGTTGAGTGTCGCCTAGGAACCAAGAGGTCACGGTTCAATTCCTGGTCAGGGCACATGCCCGGATTGCAGGCTTGATCCCCAGTGTGGAGCATGCAGGAGGCAGCCGCTAAATGATTCTCTCTCATTATTGATGTTTCTATCTCTCTCTCTCCTTTCATATATATATATTCTAAAGGTTAGCCTTAATATAATTATGCCAAACCTTCCACTTTTTAATTTTATTTTTTAAAATATTTTATTGATTTTTTACAGAGAGGAAGGGAGAGGGATAGAGAGTTAGAAACATTGATAAGAGAGAAACATCGATCAGCTGCCTCCTGCACACCTCCCACTGGGGATGTGCCCGCAACCAAGGTACATGCCCTTGACCAGAATAGAACCTGGGACCCTTCAGTCCGCAGGCCGACGCTCTACCCACTGAGCCAAACCGGTTAGGGCAAACCTTCCACTTTTTAACTTTGTTGTTTTATGTCAAACTTCAAAACAGACAGACAATACATAAAGGACAGAGAGGCCGTAGAGAAGCTTCAGGAACCTCTGCTTGACGTGCTGCAGAAGCTGTGCAAGATCCATCAGCCTGAGAACCCCCAGCATTTCGCCTGTCTCCTGGGCCGCCTGACGGAGTTGCGGACATTCAACCACCACCACGCGGAGATGCTGATGTCCTGGCGCGTCAATGACCACAAGTTCACCCCCCTTCTCTGCGAAATCTGGGATGTGCAGTGAAGAGCACCCAGGGGCGGGGCCGGCCCTCTGTCTTCCTCCTATCATAAAGCCCATGTGAAACTTCTCCTTCATTTCATTTGTGCCTGGCTTCACACAAGAATTTTGACGAATATTTATGCAGTAATTATATAACTTCCACAATTGTAAATACGGGGCTAGGTAGAATGACTTTCTCTACTTGTATTTTACATGGCTTCAGGGAATCTTTTCTTCTAATTGGCATGCCCTGTTTGCCTAACTAAATCCTTACTTCAATTCTATTTGTTGAAATAGGGAAAAAATCTCAGTTTGCTCTTCATCTTCCCTTATTGCATATATTTTATTAAACAGTTGTGTGCACTTTTGGCAATAAACTGAACATAATGGCAACAGGCTTTTATTTGAGAACAGAAATTGAAAAAATACACAAACTCTTATTTCTTTAAATGATGAATGACATCTTATTGAGCCCAAGGGGATAAACTACAAAAGGATAAACTCTCACAATACTAATGCTACATTTTTTCATCCCTGGTGAAGCCCTGGTGAATATTCATTCATTTTTAGTAGCCCTCTGATCATTTCATTTTCTTTGAAGTTCAAAGAGAATAACATGCAGAAAAATGATTATCATATAAAATATTCCCCAAGCATATTAGTTATGCTTTTAGGGGGACTACTTCCCGTAGTCGGAGTCTTGAGGCAGCATTTACAAATTCAGAGTATGCAGAGAGCTCCAGTGATGGGACAGCCCTTTTCTCTATCGAAAGTGCTCACTGTGGGTTTCAGTGCATATAATTAATCATTTTGTTTTGTTTGCTTTTGGAAAACACTCCTTCAGCCTGGTGCACAGCTATTGTATACTTCCCCCCAAAGCAGGAATTAGTTCATTTCCTTCCTTCATTGTTATACTGTTGCATTCTCCCTCCCATTATCCGTTGGTGAATACAATAAAACACCTTCTATAAGTAATGGGCTTATATCTCCCTTTCTCCTGAAGTCAGCCAAAATGGAGCTTGCTGAGCAAGAAAAGGTCTTCTTTTTGTATTACAATACTAGGGCAACCCTGACATCCTAAAAATAGCCGATCAGTGGAAAAGGGAGTGAGTTGGGGTCCATCAGTTGGGTTCCATCTGCTACAACAACTGCAACTTGAATCCTCATTAAGTACAAGATTCTTTCGCTGAACTCCATGGGTGAGTCCAAAGATGACTAAGACACAGTGATTGCCTGGAGGGGCTTACAAAGAAGCACAGAGGAATGTTGTATGGACTCAACTGGGAAAGTCACCTGGAAGAGGTGGCGCTTCCCTGGGCTTTGAAGGATGGCCAGGTCTTGCATGGGTCAAAGTAAGAGGGAAGGGTATTTAAAGCGAAAAGGGGGGTGGGAGGAGGGGCAGGAGCAAAAGGAGGGAGGCGGGGAGTTGTCCAGATGTTAAAAGACCACAAGTGATCTAGGGGAGGGAGAGATAGGGTGCACAGTCCCTTTCCAAGCCTCAGTCTTACCATTGCAAAATGAAGGCATCAGCACCTGCCATCTAAGGAGGTTTAGCTGATGAGTGAAGAGTAAGTGGGAAGTTGCAAGCCCACCAGGGGAGAAAGGACATTTAAAACAGAGAATTAAACTTCCGGAATGCCTGAAGGAGTAGATCTCATTTGAGGAACTGAGTGTGGTGTCCAGGTCACAAGGCATCTGTGGGGAAAGTGGTGGGAAATGAGCTGGAACTGAGGGGCCACTGTGGACATACAGAGCGAGGAGTTGATCCTATTCGTCTGGGTTTATTCAAGTGGTCAAGACCTTATAAGAGCAAATAATAATGCTTCTCATGGGGAAAACTGATTGCGATACAATAAGAAATATATTTTTGGTCTTTGCCCCCAGTTTCTGACATGGAGCATCTAAAACCCTTGGAATTTCCTAAGTGGATAGGACCATCTTTCATTATTCATAACAAGCTCTTTTTGACTATATCTGTGTTTATGCTAATAGGATAACTGTTTGTGGAACTCTACCTGCTTTTGGATGGGAGCTGACCGCCAGAGGAACCAACTGTGTTATTAGAGGGCTAGTACTTTCAGCCCTGGGGCAGGTGACCCATTCAGAGCAAATGAGATATTTTGCTTGGAGTAGATGTAGGAGGTAGGCAGTATTGATCATTTATTTGTGTGTGTTGTCTTATTGTTCCAAATTCTTAACTCTTTTCCTGCAATGGAATTACATTCCCAGGCACCTTTGCCTGGTGATTTGTGCTGCCTCTCATAAGAGTAAGCAGCATATTGGTCCCAGCCCATAGATGTTGGGCTTGTCCACGTGACTTGCTTCGGGCTGTGGAATGTGGGTGGAAGGGACAGTATGCCAGTTCTGAACTGAGGCCTCAAGGACATCACATGTTTCTACCTGTGCTCTTGCACTTTGCCATCTGCCACGAGAAGAGGATGCCCTGGATGACTGCAAGTCCCAGAATGAGAGACAGAAGGAAGAGACTTAAACCCAACATACAGCTTAAAGCCGTGCCCTTCCCCTCCACTGTGAGCTAACTTGTAGATCCACAAGCAAGAACAATCAATGTTTATTATTACAAGCCACTGGGAGTTGGGAGTAGTTTATTATATAGCATTATCACAGCAAAATCCTAAATAATATATCCTATTTGTATTCAGATCATTCCTCCCCTTGCCTCTGCTCCTATTGGGGCATGAGGAGGGCTAACCCTGTCTGCGTTTTATAGGCCCCCTGTCAGCTAGGTGTGGTTAGGTTCAGTCAATGGAAGGCATTGGTGGGAGATTAAAGGACAGAAAGAGAAAATCCGGGGTATCTCGCTCTCTCTGCCCCACAGGGCATCTCTGGTAATGACTGGCTCTTCTTTTGGGCAAGCCCTACCCTATTGCTGATGCCACAGCCTCTGGATTGCTAAGCCCTAGCAGTGTAGTGGCTTCCTCATGTTGCTCATCTCCGAGTTGTCTCATCTGCTCCTGTTTATTGTCTCAGCGCTTTCATCTCTTCGGAAACCAAGTTCCTGTGTTAAATGTCCTCTCTCTGAAGTGCCTCACATTTTTTGGTTAGACTTGAAACTAAGAGAATGTAGAACTTGAACTGCCGGAAGCCATCTTTGTAGCCAGAGGAAATCTGAGCATCAAGCCAATATAAACAGCAGAGCCATTTGAGGCTGCGTTCTGGTTACATGATTCGAAATCTTAGGTTGAGCTTTGCCTAAAGCTAGAGAGTTCTATTCAGGGATTTCAATTACATGAGCCAATTATTCCCCTTTTCCATAAGTGAATTTGAGAATGTTTTCCTATCATATATAACTAAAAAAATCTTATCTCTTAAAGGGACACTCTTGTTGGATTTAGGGCCTACCCTAGTCCAATATGATCTCATCTGAATCCTTTAATTATATCTGCAAAGATCTTATTTCCCAATAAGGTCACATTCTGAAGTTCCAAGTGAACATGAATTTTGGAGGGGGTACTATTCAACCCACCACATACCTAATATTTTAGTATTAATAACAACGGTTACATAAAATTGTATATAATTGAATTACTTATTTATATTTGTCAATGTAAATTGGTAGCATTCTTTTAAGATAGAGCTTAGTATTGTTTTTAATGTAGCTGGTTCTCAGCAGATTATCTGCTGAATGAGTAGCTTAATTGTGCATTAATCAAGATTTCTATTGCCCCCAAACTTCATCTAGTATATTACCCAATGCACAATCCATAGATTGACATTCAGTATTGTAAAAGCATTAAAAACAGCAACAGCAACAACAAAAGGCAGAACAAAACAACTAATAAACCAAAAGCAAAAATAAAAAATCTCCAGCTATGGTATATTTTAAACAATGGAGCATTCCTGTAGGGCTGTGAAAGAGCCAAATCATATTTCAATATCCACAGGGTATATGAGAGAGTCTCTACTGTATTCTGTAGAGAGGTTTAGTCAGATGAATTATTATTCCTAATGTAAGAACTTAAAATGTAGATTTCCAAGCCCAATACTTATTAAAGTGGGTACATCTTCACAATTCTGGGACAGACAGAACTGACAGACTTTGTCATCTGATGGAAGCAAATTGCAAAGCTCATTCTGCATGTTACGACAGCTATGTCAATTTCAAGTAAAGTGAGAATCTCTGAAATATGGCTATTAACCTAACCACCAATTAGAATATCTACACATGAAAGTAGATTGCAAGCTCATTAAGTGGAGCCCTCAATTACTAATTGCAGTGTTTAAATCAAGGTAGGTAAGATGGTGAGTGCACATAGGGAGTGGGTTACTAACTGGGAATTAATGTAAAAGTGAGGTAGGGAAAGCAACAAGAAGAACAGTTTTTCTTTTTTATAAGATATGAAAAGCAACAACAATCAAAGAACTCCTCACCCAATCCCCACATTTAATGAGAAGAAGATGGGCTTAGAGAGAAGCGACTTGCATACACTGGCTATGGATTCACTTTCCAACATAATCTATAATAATAAAAGCGTAATATGCTAATTAGACCAGACGTCCTTCTGGATGTCCTTCCGGACTAAGCTAGGGCTGCAAGGGAAACCTGGGTCCCAGGTGCCAGAGGAAAGCCGGTGCCGGCAGCCGGAGAAGGAAGGCCTACTCTTGTACGAATTTTGTGCATTGGGCCTATAGTATCTTATATCTGTATAAGGAAGAAAAGTTATTAAAAACAAACAAACAATGAGAATAAAAAGTAAGCAATCATAAACTACACTGCTGCCAAAGTTTCAGTAAATGGTTTAGAAATATTAAGTGGTGTGTGTGAAAGCGAGAGAGATTGAGAGAGAGAGAGAGATAGAAAATAGAGACACAGAAAGAGAATATTTATGTATATACCTCATATAGCATAGTTTCAAATGTTTAGGCACATTATTTGCATGTAAGAAACAATAATGAAACTGTTAACTAATGACTCATCCAACAAGATCTATATAACAGAACTAGAGGCCCAGTGCACAAATTTCATGCATGGGTAGGGTTCCTAGGCCTGGCCAGCTATCAGGGCCAATTGGGGCCTTCCGGCTGCCAGCCAGGGCCTTCCTTCCTTCTGTGCCACCCCCTCCCTCGTGGTCAGCCCACATCATAGCGAGTGATCGAACTCCCGGTCTCCCAGTCGAACTCCTGAGGGGACACTGCATATTAGCCTTTTATATATATAGATATACTTAAAAAAAACCAACATATATTTTTATTGATTTCAGAGAGGAAGGTTTTAAATAGAAACACTATAAAACAGGTTGATTTGAAGAACAGTCCTGTAAAAATGGATCTATCAATTTTTAGATAGTCATGAACAGCAAAAGTGCTCTGGGACAACTGTTGGGCATCAGGTTCAATTAAAACTTATATGTCAACTTTTGATGACCCTCTTCGCCCACCCACCCCAAAAGATAAGCTCTGTGAGAGCAGGACCCCTGTGCTTAGGGTGAGTCTGGTGAAGAACAAGTGCTCAAATAGTATTTGCTGGATTGATTTCTCAAATGTGTATCTCTTGCACAAATCAATCCAATCAGCTGCAGACCTAACCCTCCAACTAGCTTCTGAATATCTCTACTTACATGTTCCTCTATACTTGAAACTGAACACACCCCTGAGCAAATTGCATTATTCTTCCCCCAAAGTTGTTTTCTCTGTATTCCTCAGATGGATATCACTGTCACCTGGTAACCAAGTGCTGACACATCAGCCTCTTCGGTTTCTCCAGACACTTCTTCCTCACCATCCCTTCTGAGCTAATTTAGGTAACTGTCATCTTTTAGTTTTTAGAATTGCTGCCAGTCTTACTCCTTTCTTCAAAAACCCTAGAAAATGATTTTTTTTTTTCTAAAACACAAACCTGTTCCTACCAGTCGCTCCTTATAATCAATTCCAGTTGCCTATAAGAAAGAATCTAAACTCCTTAGCACTTACTGGGACTTTCATCTGTGCCTACTCCTCCAGCCTCATCTGTCTCCCTGATCCCCAAACTTTAGTCATTCATGACGACTATTCCCAGGACATCCTGGGCCTCTCATCTCTGGAACCTTGTTGTTCTGCCTGGAAAGCACTCCTTACTCCCAATTATCCTTCCTCTTGGCAGATTCCTGTCCATCCTGCAAAATTCAGCTTCTTTCAAACCTCTCACCATCTCCTCCATGGTTGTTAGGGGTTCCTTCTCTCACAGACCTCCAGACTTCCACTGAGCACTTTGAAAGCAGAACTATCTTCTTCATTTTAGTCTCTTCAACAAGCAAGAGCACTTCCTCATTGTTTTTGACAAGTGAATGAATAAATGCACACATGAGAGACCATCATTCCAGGTCAATCCCCACGCTTTGCAGACGGGGAATTGGAGTCCCAGAGAGGTGACATGACTTGACAAAATTGAACTAACAAACAGAGAAGTGCCAGGACTCCAGGTTTTTGCCCAATGTTTTTTTTTTTTTTTTTGGCTTTTTTCTTTTTGGGCAATTAACAAGCCACATTTACAGTTATGACAGATCTACCTATTGTTCCATTAAGTCCAATCTCTGCTTTAAGTCACCCCTCAGAGCTAGTAAGCATATCTCATTGGGTTGAGCTTAACTTTCCTCCCCTGGCTCTTGCGTTTTCTGAAGGAAGTGCCCACATCCCCTTTTTGATTTTGGTTGTGGCCTGAGTTACAGGATTCCTTCCCTTCATCTGCCACCCTTCCCCGTGGGAGAAGAGGGGCCTCTCTCTGAAGGGTTTCTACTGGGACGCCCATTCCTGCCGGGTGACAGTTCCTCCCCGGAAACCGAGGCGCCCTTGGTGCAGCCAGATCGGGAGTTGAGATAAGGTTGGGAGGGGCTCTTCGCTGAACAGGAGGAAACTCGGGACCACGCCCTGAACACCCGGGGCGACATTCCAGGATGGGAGGCGGATTCAACCCTCCTGCATAGGGACGAGTGGGCGGGGCTGCTGCTGTCGCCGAGGGGCCAGATGGGGGGCTTGTGCTGCAAACCCAACCAGTCCTTCGGGCGAAAGAGAGGCGTGGACGCTGAGGTCGCGGGCCTCCAAGCGCCCCCTGCGGACTCAGAGGCGCGCGCAAGTCTCGTGCTCCTGGGGCTCTGGGGGGGCGGGGCCTGAAGCCACGCCCACGTCCCGCCCTCTGATTGGTCCCTTCGAAACAGGCGGCGGCGGCGGTTGGTCAGGGGTGTGCCGGCGCCGCACTGATTGAGCCGAGATGTCGCCCCGCCGCGTGCAGTGACCCTCCTGCGGCGGTGCTGGTGAGTATGTCCCTGCTCGCCTTCTCTTTTCCGCGCGAACTTGGACTCGCCCCGCTCGGGGCTGCCGGGCCTCAGCCTACGGGCTCGAGGAATCCGCCGCGCTCAGCCTAGTCCCAGCGGCGGGTAGGATGCGACCCCTAAACTGGGAAGCCAAGACGCTCTGCGATTGGCCGGCTGCGGGAGTCGCGTGCTCGGATTGGCTCCTGGCGCCGTCAAGGTGACGTTAGCCCTGCCTTTACCTGCCTTCTTTGGTGCTGTGCGAGGGTCAACAGGTGTTCTGTGAGGAAGTGTGAGGAAGAGGTACGGAGCAGCTGCCACTTTTAAAAATATATGTATTTTTATTGATTTCAGAGAGGAAGGGAGAGGGAGAAGAGGTAGAAACATTCACGATGAGAAAGAATCACTGGCCGGCTGCCTCCTGTTCGCCCCACACCGGGGATGGAGCGGGCAACCTGGGCTTGTGCCCTGACCAGGAATCCAACCGTGACCTTCTGGTTCATAGGTCGAAGCTCAACCTCGGAGCCAGCCCAGCAGGGAGAGCCACTACCGCTTCTGCTTTAGAATCTAAACAGGGGTCAGAGCTTGGAGCTATCTTAGGGGACCCCCGTTCCCCTGCGCTTAGCACATTTAGAGTCGCCTGATGCCGCCACATCACGCTCTGGAAGAACTGATGAAGTCACAGGCTTTGCAAAGAGAACCATGCAGTCATTTCCCCTTCACTCCCTTCCCTATTTGTCCCCCGCAGTCCCTACAAGGCCCTCATCTCTCAGCTGGATGGAACAGGGAGACATCACGGGAAGCTTACCTACCCGGACCCCTCTTTTTGCAAGGCTGCGTGGGTGGGTGGGTGGGTGGGGGTGCCTGTAGATCGCCTGGGAAGTGGGAGGAAAGTTTTGGAGGGTTAACTGCTCATCTTTTCATACTAAGGGATTGAATCATACGGATTTAGAGTGCTCCCCTGTGATGCATGGTGGAGAAGTAGATGGAATCGTTACTAAGTGAAGAGATGTTTGTTTTTTGCAGGCCCCGTCTAAGTCGGTTTGGGTTTTGCTTGTTTGTGTGGAGAGTGCTAATAACTACTGTCTCCAGATAAGCAGTTTTTTGAACGGTCATCTGATCATTTCTCTTGGTGCTTAAATGATTAGGAATTGGAATTCTTGCCAGCTCACACTCCCTCTGGGAGGAGATTGGGATTGATTTGAATGAAAAAGTGGAAACTCTGGTGATAATCTTCTGAGTAGATAGTAATGCATGTCTGTCTGACTCATTTGCTTAAAAAACTCATTAAAATCCAAGGTGCAACCCTGGCCGGGAGGCTCAGTTGGTTGGAGCATCAGTCAGGTACACCAAAGGGTTGTACCTGATTCCTGTCAGGGCACATACCTAGGTTTTGGGTTCTATTCCCCCAAACCCATTGATGTCTCTCTCTCTCTCTCTATCTCTCCCTCTCTCTCTCTCTCTCTCTCTCTCTCTCTCTCTCTCTCTCTCTCTCTCTCTTTCTCTCAGCATATCCTCCAGTGAGAATGAAAAAAACCCCACAGTGTGCAATGAGTAGTAGACATCTCTGCCCCAGCCAGTTTGTTCAGTGGTTAGAGCATGGGCCTGCAGACCATAAGGTCCTGGGTTCGATTCAGTTTAAGGGCATGTACCTTGATTGTAGGCTCCTCTCCGGGGCCCCATGTCGGAGGCAACCAGTCGATGTGTTTCTCTCACATCGATGTTTCTCTCTGCCTTTCCTTCTCTCTTATACTCTCCCTAAAAGTCAATTGGAAAATATCCTCGGTTGAAGATTAAAATAATAATAATAACAAATAATAATAATACATAAATAATAGTAGGTGTCTCTGCTATTTTGAGATTGAAAGTAATACTGTTTCTTTTTAGTTTAGCAGAGTTGTATGTGGGTTCTGAAATCAGACTTTACTATGTGTGTGAATTTAGGCAAGTTATTTAATCTTTCTAAGCCTAAATTTCCTACTCTGTAAAAGACTGTTAACAATAGATCCTCCCTTATTGATGCAAGGGCTGTTCTGAGGATTAAATGAAATAATCTACATAACTAGTTCAGTACAATGCCTGACACACAGGTATCATTATTTCTGTGCTGATTAATTTGTGTTACATGTTTCAGGTTTCCCCCAAAGGGCGGAGAGGAGCAGAGGTGAAGGCAGTGCAGAGGTATGATAGTTATCATTCACTGATTAGTACATGCAAGACACTCCAATAGTATCTGGCACATACTAAACATTCTTGATTATCAAATACATTATTACCTGGAATGTACCAAGTACGATGTGCTTTACTTACATTATTGTTAAACCTCGTAGTAATTCTGCACTGTAGTTGGTGTTATCGCATTTGTTATCGGCCAGGAAACTGAAGCTCAGAGAAGGGACATAACCTACTAAGTAAGGTCCATCAGAATTCAGTCCAGACTGCCTCACTCAAACATCTAGCTTCTTTTTTGTGTCATACTGCCCTTGCATTTATATTCCCAGCATTAGGCAAACTTCTGTTTGTGGGTTCATTTCTGCTATATGGGTTTATTTTGATACTTCAGTAATTAAAAAATAATAAGAAATAACTTGTGATGGTAAATCAAAGTGTGTGATAAGAGAATAATGTCAACAATATACATGCTATTACTAAAACACTTTTAGTAATGTTTGGAGAATTGGTCAGTTCAGAAATAATGTTTCCTAATTTACATTTTTGCAAAAACATTTAGTTTTTGCTTATTCACTATATTTTTACTAAACAGCACTCCTCCATTATCTTTTTCCCCCCTATAAATCTTAATTTAAATTTGGAGATAAGAAAGTTCAGTTAAATACATTATTACCTAGAATGTACTGGGTACGATGTGCTTTACTTATATTGTTGTTAAAATTTTTTTCAAGCTAACTGTTGATAAGGGAAGTAAGGAATTAAGGTTACTATGTATTATGATATTGTAATTTCTTATAGTAACATGTCTGTGTATATATGCCACTCTGTGTATGTTTTATTTCCTATTTTTGCTTTCTCTACTTTGGTATCAGATATACCTTTATATACCAAATGAACCATGTGATGTACATAGGATTTGAGAAAATAGGAAACTTGAGTCTGTCAGTTGTCTCAGTTTCCCTACTTTTAATTGAAATTTAACTGCCTTAGATAAATGCCTCAGAAGTAATGTTTACAAGATACAGACAATAATTATAATTATATTTCTTTAGTGTTTCTCTTAAAAACTCAAAAAGATTTTTTATATTATTACATTGTTACAAAGTAGGTTGTTTCAACAGAAAGTTACCATGTATTTCCTAAATGAATTACTAATTTCCAAGAATGTAATAAAATGTAGCAGATATGCTAAATGCAATTCATCTTTGATGCTGAAAGCTCCATAGGAATTTACAGTATTATGACCATTATATGCTGGATATTGCTGAAGGGCTGACTGTTAGAGACTTCTTCCTATTGTCACACAGCATAAACTTTTCTGTAAGAAAGTATAATATTAGCTATGGTGAAGGGCTCACTTTATATAGTTTTAAGCATAATGACTTTTGTTTTCCGTTGATAAATGACTTGTTAATATTTTAGATTCACCCAAAAAATTGGCTGGTGAAAAAATTGTTTGTGTTAAAAAGTTTTTCTTTTTACACACACACACACACACACACACACACACACACACACACAATTTAGAAAACATTGTGACCTCAATAATATAATTATATATACTTTTGGTTGCATAAGATATAATAAATATCTTTCCAGATTAGTAGAGGAAGCTGTATCATATAGTCTTTCAAGTGGCTAATTCCTATATGAATGTCCCATAAATTATTTGAGCAGTTTCCTGTTAATGGACACTTAGTATTGTTTTTCCATGTCTTTGTATTAGTGTCTCTGCGTTTTTGTTTTCCATAAAGTCTTTTAGTCTGTCATATATAATAGCAAACTGATTTTAAGTTCTTTAAAAATTTTTGCATCCCACAAAATTTTATGACAAATTAATAATTCTGTCTAATATAAAATTAAGTTATTCAGGTTGAATCTCTGCCAAACATTGAAAGGAAAATTTCAAATAAAAAAACTAAGACTCCCAACAAATGAACAGTTTATATCTTTTGCAAGTAATGTGTGATGTTTTATTAAACTGTGAGAATCTTACTTCTTTCTCTTCAGAGTCTTTATTTGGCTTTGGAAGCTGTCTTTCTCTTAAATGAATATATCACACATTTATATCATTGTTTTATATTCCTTTTAGTAATAACTACAACATTTATTATATTTAGGAGTAATTTCAGCACTGATTTCTACATAGAAATAGAAGAAATGGAGACTGTTACTCCCTCAAGGACCTTATTTTAAAAAGTATAGAGTACAGTAGAATTGAAGCATATATCGCTATATAACCTAAATTGAGGAGTGGGTTCAGGGACACTTTTAAAGGAACTGAATCTGAGGGATAGGCAGCAGTGAGTCTGAAAGAAGAGGAAGCAGGGAATGTTCCATGTTGATGGATCAGCTTGTGCTTGAAGGGTAAGAAGTTCATATGGTGGAAGTGTAAGGATCAAAAGATGAGTTTGGAAGGGAGTCCTGTAAGGCTTTATTTGCTTTGTTAATGAGTTTGGACTTTATCCTAAAGGCAGGGAAGAGCCATCAGGGGTTTTAAGCAGGAGAGTAAGTAACATGTCCTCAGATGGGTGTTTGTGAAGGTCACTCTGGCTGTAGTACATGGAAAACAGTTGGAGGCTTGCAGGGCTGAAGAAAGGGTGCCTGGTTGGAGTGTGTTTCAGTAAACTTGGGAAAAGATGATGGTGGCTTGAACAGAAGAGTGGCTATAGGTATTGAAGAGAAAATTTAGAAATAAAAGTAACAAGACATGGTCATTGATTGTTTTGGATGAGGAACCCAGGAGGAGGAAGTAGAGGTGTGAGCTAGGAAGGAATCAAGGATGACCTGGTAACTCCATGATTCTTGATGTCATTTCCTGAGAAACTAAATACGGAAACCTTAGTAAATATTTAAGTGAGTGAATGAGTGTAAAAATGATCTTAAATATAGGTATTGAAGAGAAAATACAAAGTCAGGGGCATTTGGTGGTGGTGATGGTGGTGATAATAGCAAATACATGGCACTCTTAATGTGTTTTACCTATAAATTTTGCATTTTTTTTAGAGCATGCTGTATAAAACTGGTGCCCTTTTTCTTATAATTTCA